CGTATCATATGGTAACTTCTTCGTTTTTAAGTCGTTTTTGAAAACGTTTGCTCAGAAGGAACGAGTTCATCATGATCTATTGGATCTACAAATTTCTGGGTGAAAAAAATATTGGACAAAAAATTACTATACTTTACCTCTATGGTATGTGGGTGGTAACTTGTGGTAAACAATGATGAAAGTCGTAAATGACAGTTAGTATACTCCTACTATCATGTATTCAACTTTCTTACCATATTGGTATGTTCATACAATCATGGTACGCTTTCTTACCATATGGTATTAAATATGAGCATACCATATGGTAATGACTGGTAAAAAAATATTCAATTTTTTTGTACTAAAAATATATCAAAGTGGATATCATTTTAAAGAGCACATTTAATCTGATTTATCTGTGCAAAAAAATAAATTAAATTTCGACTTAAATCGAGAGAGAAATCGTCCGTTAAAGATTAAAGGGGAAAGATAAAAGATCTTCCAGGAGAGAGGGGATGATAATGTCATGCGGATGTGGACAGGTTACTGATGATTACTCACAATAAGAGTCACTGACATGATCCGCTCCCCTATTTTTGCCTGCTTCGTAGCATAGAAAGAAAGGAAAAGTCTCATGCTTCATATATATTGTTTGTGGTGATCTTTTTGTACAACAATAACAAAAGCAGCTCATACCAAAGGAAAGAGAAATTGTTTTGGTTAGATTACTTTTAGCTGAAATCCTAGACCCAAACGATACGGTGGTGGGAATCGATATTACCCTCACAACTTAATTCGCAAGGTCGCCATAGCACAAAGAAGCTAGCATCAACGATGAGGCAGCCGAAGTAGTAAAAGAGACGGTTCTCTTAAGTGATTGACTTGAGGACGCATGCAAAAAAACCTAAAGGAAAAATACCTTTTAATAATTGATAACAAAAATATAAATAAAACAAAACATAAAGGAAAGGGATTAACCTTACGTAGGGCAGCTCTTCCGTCCGTGTCCCGTCAACATAAACATATCCAAACCCACTTTCCGTTTCGTTCATATCCAGCTTCCATCTAATAATTAATTAACCAAAATGAGGCAACCACATAGTGCCACATGGCTGGGTAGTAGCGAAGGGCTACAACCCAGCCAGAAGCCAAATTTTGCCCTTTTTTTAATTAAGTTATATCAGTAATTTCACCATGTTATGATGTTGTCTAATTACAATAAGAGCAAACGTAAAATATATCAATCAAGGAAGTATGGCTTATCTATTTTACTGGTGTTTGTTGATTAGGATGCCAATGATTTGGTTCACAATGAGTCAAATATTGCTCAAATATTGTTTGGATTGAATCTAAACAAATTGAATATAGTTTCATTAAAATTGAGTATAACTTACTCTGGAAATTGAAATATTTATGGATTCTAACATCGAGTTAAAATTATCAGGTACTCTCCAAAGTTTCCTATGAGTGGCAAGCATAGTAATTACTTGTAAATTCGACACTGTCACAGAATCATAAATAACCATGAGGAAATATTAACTAAGGGAGTAAATAGAATAACAACACTAATAACAACATGATTCATTAAGGGCAAAAGGGTAAATCACAAATATTTTTAAACGCACACTAAACAAATATTTTTAAACGCACACCATAAACCTCCTAATGCAAACCACAAACACGGTAAAACAAACCACAAAAAGTGAACCAGAAACTTCTTCATGCAAATCAGAAATACAATAAACCAAACCACAAAAGGCATACCAAAGCCACGAGAAACCAAACCATAAATCTCACAATGCACACAATAACATCCGGTGATTGTTGACCAGTCAACGAAGTTTGTTGACCAAACTCTGATGACCGTCAGTGAGCAGATTCCGACCCCGATGACTAAATTCCGACGTCGGTAAGCATATTCCAACCACGGTGAGCATATTCCGGCGACGTGTGCATATTCTGACGATAAAATAGCATATTCCGGCGACAAAAAACATATTCCGGTGACCAGCGGCCAGATTCCTGGCAACATAATTTTGGCCAGAAAATAAAACAAATATATTTTTTTAATTTTTATTATTATTCGAACATATGTTTCATAATGACAATTATACCCCTGCTTTGATTTTACACTAGGTCAACTAAACTAATAAAAAGTCATCATAACCCTAACTTCCTATTGATTTTTAGACTAGTGTTGTCACCCTAACAACAAAAAGAGTGTTGTTATAGTAACCGGTCCCATTAACTAACATCCACATATCGATCCAAAGAATAGAAACGACATTCACCAACTCAAAGGACATTTTGAAATAATATTATGCCATAATCTTGTTCCAAACAACCATAATTCATATAATTTTTCTGGCAAAACAATAACCTGAACTTTTTATACAATTTCATCCACATATAACTAAAAGGTTTAATTCACCTACATAGTCATAATTTTTGCGTTTTTTTACAATAATAGCCATTTTTAAAAAAATACACAGTTGTAGCCACATTTTTAGAACTCGTTTGACATAATAAGTCATTTTCGTTAAAAATTTAACACCATTAACAGGACACTGATGTGGATGCCACCTCAGCTCCCACATAAGCTCCAACACACCAAGCCATGCCACCTAGCTGCCATTAGGGCTGCAAATGAGCCGAGTCGAGTCGAGTTTTACCCCAGCTTGAGCTCGGCTCGTTAATAAATGAGTCTAACTCGAGCTCAACTTGTTTATTAACGAGCAGAGTCGAGCTCGAGCTCGAGCTAGCTTGTTTATTAAAATCTTAACTTTTATTTGGTACTTCATTTTGTATATCATGATACATATGATTTATTTTGTTAGCTAATCTCAAATTATACTTTGTTGGTATCATATATCATTTAGTTAATAAATTTTAACTACTCCAAATCATGTTATTTCATAGTATGGTAGCAATCTATGATGCATAATTTCTTTTTAAAGTAGAAAATAAGATATATTTGCTCACATACTCAACGTGTTAAACTTTATATATGGTGAGATATATAATTTAACAGCCATATGAACTAAAATCATAAGATATAGATTGATTCGTCCATAAGTTGCTAATCGAGTTGGCTCTCTAGCCACATGTTAAGACATATCATGAGCTCTAAACGAGCCAGCTCACGAGTTTAGCGCAACAAGCCACCAAGTTGAGCTAGCTCGCGAGCTTCACGAGCTGAACAAAGGCGAGCTCGTGTTCGGCTCGTTTATTAACGAGTCGAGTTTAGAACGAGCTTTTATCGAGTCGAAAGCCGAGCCGCTCGCGAGCAGCTCGGCTCATTTGCAGCCCTAGTTGCCATATCTTATTTAAATTAAAAAAAATAAATATCTTTTCATATTTTTACTTTTCAATTTCCTCGTCGGACTCTTCTTCTTTCATCTCGTCCCTTCCCCACCGGCCGCCAAATCCTCCCCCGTCGATGCCGCCGACCCTTCTCCTGCACTTTTATCTTATCCTATACAAATAGCTTTTATTTTAATTAAAGTAAATCACGATTGGCCAAAGACCCTTCCCCTTCCTGCATCCATATGAGTTCTCATCGCACACCCATCGGCTGATCCACTCACCAGGGCCTAACTTGGAGACCCATAAATCAAAACCTGATGACCAACGAACCAAAAAATGGCGACTGCTGCAGATTGGGTTGAAGCTTTTCTTTGAACGACGGTGGCAGATTTGGAGACCATTTTTGCTCATCTCAAAACGAGGCCATTGAAAAGCTCCTTCGACAACAAACCCCTCTCCAAGCTGTCCATCTCCTGCCAGATCAGTGCGTATATTGGAAGAAATTGAACGGCGGTGGTTGAGTTGCGAAGGGGAATCGGTCAATTAGATCTAAATCCCGATGGTCGATGTCCTCCAACTCTCTCCAGGCTTGATTGAACAAATTCTTCCTAGTTATAGGAAAAGAAGGGGGTAGGTACTGAGCGGTCGGCGGCTGCGTGTAGTGGGAGGGGAGGAATTTGGGTTTGCGAGGCAGTGGAGCGGTGGTTGTCGAATTTGGCGGAGTAATAATGAGATCGAGGTGGCGGACCCGATGATTTATTAACTCCATCCACTGACGCGACTCCCCTGATCCGCCGCGAGCTCCCGTTTCTGGTTCCCTTGCACTGCCTATTTCCATCGATTTGGTTCTGGATATGGATTCCATATTCGGGAAGAAGACTGTTAATTGTGATATGACCTACGCATGATCAACAGCATGCTGTGCCTTCATCATGCCCATACTCCATCACAAGATACGATATGATATGCTCAATATTATCAGATTATGTAATTAATGTCTTTCTCTGTATGTTAGCCTACGTATGTATATATATACCTGTAATTGTAAACCTTCAAGATAAGATAATCAATTCAATCTCTGTGAACTGTAACATGGTATCAGAGCTTCCCGTTTCTATCTCCTACCTCTTTATCTAGCTAAATCGCCCTGCCGCCTGATCCTCAGAGCCCCTGCCAACGAGCTGCTCGCTCTCTGCTTCCTCTGTAAACAGCTCTCTGCTACCGGTTTCCCCTGCTTTCACTCTGCCACCTGCTCCTCAGAGCCCTTGCCAACGAGGTGCTCGCTCTCTGCTTCCTCTATAAACGGCTCTCCGCTACCGCTTTACCCAGCTTCACATCAAACAAAAACCTCAGTCCCACCACCCTTCTCAACCACTCAAATTACCCATCTGCTTTCGAGCTCCAATAACACCTCCATCCCTCTCCCTGTATTTATTGCACTCTCAGCAACCACTTTATATAAGACCCAATTAATTTTTTAGGCTTAATTGCAAGTTTGGTCACTCGAATTGCTACAAAATTTCACGTTTGCCACTCAAATTAATTTATTCCATTTATAGTCACTTAAATTAGGTTAACAGTCCAAATTTGGTCACTGGCCGTTAGTCTCCGTTAACTTTTGCTGATGTGTCGGTCAACTCTCATAGTTGACCGTTAAATGCATGACGTGGCACTTAAAAAAATTAAAAAAATTAAAAATTCCACCTCAACTGCGGTTACCTTCCGACGTTTCCTCGTCGGAGAAGAAAATACTGCGCTTTCGCGCTCTGGTTGAGCGGGGCAGAAGAAGAAGCCACCGCCAGAGAGGTGGCGTTCCGGATGGGCGCCTCCCGGAGCTCGATCCTCATTCCCCCTTTTGCCCTACCCTGTTCCCGATCTCGCCTAGCTCCTTCGAATAAGGTGAAGACTTTCACGCCGCAGGACTGTTCTTCTTCGGCGGGAGAGGAGGATGGGTAGTTTGGAGATGGTTTGAAGCCGTTTGCTAAGTCCAACAAGCAAAGGCCAGGGGTATCTCCAGGAGACAGGTCCGGGGGGGAAGGGTAGAATGAAAACATGGAAGGGCGCTGGTAAACCGGATAAGAAAATAGTGAAGAGGGACCGAAAGGACTCAAAGTTCGGGTATGGTGGAAGGAAAGGCATGAAGAAGCAGAACACTGCTGATACCACTGATGATTTCAAGGGGTTCAAGAAAGCAGGTGGCGACGCCGGGACCAGGAGGAGAAGGAAGCAATGAGATTGGAGAAACTAAGCTATGACAAAAACTGCCTGTTATTGCTATGTTCAATAGGCTTGTCTGTCCTAGAATTGTACTGAAATTTTGGGGTTATCTTTATGATTCATTTTCTTCTTTTGCTTAATGAATGATGTTGATGTTATTGCCTTTCTGATTCTATGATTTTGTCTCCCGGGCGCTCATTTTTGGCATTGTTGGTGGCCAGATCTCTTCTGTTACGAACTGTAGACATCACAAAGCCTGGAGTTTTGCAACTGCAATGTGTTGTTCTATCAACTACTTCTCTTTGGATGCATCATGCATGTTCTCTTATCCTGGGATCATTTCCCCTGCTATAAAAAGGAATAAAACAAAGGGTGGAAAATTGCAGGAAGTCAACAAGAATAATGGATCAGGAATTTCTTTCCTCAGCACTAATGATTGCCACAAGGTACATCGAATGATTAATGTGCTGCGGCCTGACGGACGTGGGTATATTATGCAGGTATTACTCTCTTAATACAACTTGCTAGGGAAGTGGCAATTGACTTCTTTTTTCATTTTTAGTTCTCTACCATGACCTAATTTCATAGCAGGGGCCTTCTCCCACGACCCATCCATGAGGTCGTCGGCGTGCAAGGACTGGGGGTTCTTCCAGGTGGTCAACCACGTTGTCGACGTGGATCTGATGAGGAACATCTGGGAGATTTGGCGGGAGTTCTTCGACCTCCCCCTCGACTCCAAGCAGCAGTACGCAAACGAACCCGTTTCCGACGAAGGGTACGGCAGCCGCCTCGGGGTCGAGAAAGGCGCCACCCTCGACTGGAGCGACTACTTCTTCCTCCGACGCGGAAACGTCGGAAGGTAATCGCCGTAGTTGAGGTGGAAATTTTAAATTTTAAATTTTTTAATTGCCACGACATGCATTTAACGGTCATCTATAAGAGTTGACCGCCACATCAGCAAAAGTTAACGGAGACTAACGGCCAGTGACCAAACTTGGAATGTTAACCTAATTTAAGTGACTATAAATGGAATAAATTAATTTGAGTGGCAAACGTGAAATTTTGTAGCAATTCGAGTGACCAAACTTGCAATTAAGCCTAATTTTTTTATTTCTTCTCCTTCCCAAGTTCCTTGCCAATGGGAACCCTAGTTGCTTGACCGCTCTGATACCATATGAATTTAGATGGGTGTGGAGAATTGCAAACCCTCAGAAGAGACTGAGAGCTGCTCTGCTTTCATTATATAGCAGTGTGCTCTGTAAACCCAGCAGCACCTGAACGACAGCCACATGGCAGAATGCCATTGGCAATTACAAAAAGTAACAGTGTCTTAGCAACGGCTAACTAGCCTTAGGAAAACGACATCGTTCAAGTAAATAACAAACAGAAAGGAAACTTAAAACATAAACGTTTCTTCTGTGAAACTCCTTTTTCTCTTCTCCAATCCAGATCGCATCAGGACTTCTTCTGCATCCTTCCACTTCAGTTGGTTGACACCCCCCTTCAAGTTGTGGCTTCTGTCAAGATTCCCAACTTGCCGAGAAGATCCTGTAAGCGCACTCTATGGAGACTCTTTGTGAAGATGTCTACCAGCTGATTAATCGTGCTGACATGCTCCAATTCCACCAGTCCATCCTTGATCCTTTCTCTAGTGACATGCATATCTATCTCGATATGCTTTGTCCTCTCATGAAATACAGGATTCTCTGCAATATGAATTGCAGACCTGTTGTCACAGCAAATGGTAACAAGCAATGGTATCTTCACACTCAGTTATGCCAATAATCCTCTTAGCCACTCCACTTCACAAACCAGCAGTGCAAGAGCTCGATATTCAGCCTCTGATGAAGACCTTGAAACTGTAGTTTGCTTCTTTGACTTTCAGGTGAGTAGTGACTTACCAATGAATGTACAAAGGCCAGTGGTTGATCTTCTAGAATCAGGGCAACTTGCCCAATCCGAGTCATAGAAACCAGTAAGTTTTAATTCTGCCTTGCTACTGAAATAGATCCCTTGACCTGGAGATGATTTAAGGTACCTCAGCACTCTATGAGCTGCTTGCATATGATCACTGTATGGATTCTTCTGGAACTGACACAGCTGCTAGACCGAGTAAGTGAGATTAGGTCGGGTGATAGTGATGTAGTGTAACCTTCCAACCAGCCTGCTATACATCTCAGGGTCCTCCATCTTGTTTCCTTGTTCTGCAGCAAGTTTTACATTAGGATCAGAAGGTGACAGACAACTTTTAGCTTCCAGGAAACTAGTGTCACTCAATAGCTCCATGCAATATTTCCTTTGACAAACAGATAAGCCTTCTGCTGTTCTTGTCACTTCCAGACCAAGGAAGTATTTCAATGGTCCAAGCAGCTTTACTTTGAACTCACCACAAAGAGACCTCTTGATCTGGTCTGTCTTTCTGTGCATCGCCACCAACAATTATATCATCTACATAGACCAACAAAACCACAATCCTGCCCTGTACCCATTTGGTAAAGAGTGAATAATCAGACCTGGATTGTGAGAAACCATTTCTTAACAAGAAACCTGTCAACTTAGCAAACCATTGTCTTGAAGCCTGCTTCAATCCATACAATGACTTCTTCAATCTGCAGGCCATCCTTGTGTTTGACTTTGGTATTTCAATCCCTTTAGGGATTTCCATATAGACCTCTTCAGTTAGATCTCCATGTAGGAAAGCATTGGACACATCTAACTGTTCAAGGGTCCAGGTCTTAACAGCTGCTATTGCTAATAGGGCTTTGACTGAGTTAATCTTTACAACAGGTGAGTAGGTATCCAGGAAGTCTATACCATACACCTGAGTAAAACCCTTAGCAACTAGCCTAGCTTTATATCTCTATTGTACCATCAGGCTTTAACTTGAGTTTAAACACCCACTTGCTTCCCACTACATGTTTATATGGGGGCAAGGGTACAATCTCCCATGTCTAATTTGCTTCCAGGGCAGCAAGTTCTTCATTTATAGCTCTCCTCCATTCTAGAACTTGGACAGCCTCACGATAGGTCTTAGGCTCCACACATGTCAATACACTCAATGCAAAAGACTCGTCAGCCTCATTGAGATGATCAAGATTGAATGTCACTGAATGCCTAGTTACAGTATTTCCAAAGGCACCAAATTGCAGTTGAGGATCTAAAATGAAGTCTTGATACTTTGCTGGAAGCAATATTCTTCTTGGGGGGTCTACCAGAGGGTTCCTCATAGTCAGTTTGAGGTACTAATTCAGGTTCAAGTTCCACATCAGATGTGAGAGATGCATTGATGTGTTAGCTTCATCATTATCAGCACCACCAGTACTAGTAAAGTCACTACTTTGGTCCCCCCCCCCCCCCTTTCAGCAGAGGCTGAATCAAGGTCAGCAGGATGTGATGTGGTAGGAACTAGGATTGGTGGAGCAGGACTAACAACAGGAGAAGAAGGGTAGTGTTGATCAACAGGATGAGCTGGGACAGCCTGAGTTGATGAAACTCTAAAGGGAAGAATGGTTTCATGGAACACAACATGTCTTGAAACAAACACTTCTCTTGTCTATAAATCAAGTAACTTATACCCTTTAATTCCAGTTGGCAGGCCTAGGAACACACATTGTCTTGCTCGAGGAGCAAACTATGTTCTTCCACTCACCAAAGTACTAGCATAGCACAAACATCCAAAAACTCTAAGATGACCAAGAGTTGGTGGTTTCTGATAAAGAATTTCATAAGGAGACTTGTTCTCAAGGATTGGTGTGGGCAACCTATTGATAAGATAGGCTGAATGTAACACACAATCACTCCAATAGGATAAAGGAAGCCCTGATTGGAACCTTAAGGAGCTAGCCACATTTAGAATGTGCTGGTGCTTCCTTTCTACCCTAGCATTCTGTTCAGGGGTTTCCACACAGGACATCTGATATTCTATGCCATTTTCCATATAAAATTCACACATATTAAACTCCTGCCCTTGGTCACTTCTGATCACCTTAACCCTTTTATCAAACTGATTCTGTATTAAAGTGCAGAAACCTTGTAGCAAAGGCCTAGCCTCACTTTTATGTCTCATCAGAAATACCCACACAGCCCTTGAACAATCATCCACAAAAATTAAGAAATAAGCAAATCCATCATAAGAAATAACAGACAAAGGCCCCCAAATGTCAACATGGATCAATTGGAACAAATCATGTGCATTACTGGTGCTAACAGGAAAGGGTAGTCTCTTATGTTTGGAAAGGTGACAGACATCACAGTGTGTAAACTTGGGATTAGTTACAGAAGAATGTGTTTGCTGTAACATAGAAATCCTATCTCTACTTGGATGCCCTAGTCGCCAATGCCACAGATCTACTTGGTGTGGATTAAAGTTGAAGGAGCTGGTTGCTTGTGGGAGTGAGGATAGTGACTGGTCTCTCTCTGGATTGGACAAGGTGAGATAGTACAATCCTCTAACCTCTCTTGCTAAACCAATCGTCCTCTTGCTTAGAAGGTCCTGGATTTGGCAGAAATCATATTGGAAATGTAAGGCTAGAGGGTGATCATGGGTTAACTTACTAACATACACAAGGTTAAAGGAGAAACTTGGAACAAATAGAACATTATAGAGGTGAAGTCCTGAAGGCAGTTTGATAGTGCCTATGTGGGTCACTAGAACCTTTGTGGTATTTGGTAAGTAGACAAAGACATCTTGTACTGGTTTATGGTCAAGAAATAAAGACATGGAGCAAGATATGTGGTCTGATCCAAAAGGTAATAGGGTCAATGCTATTCTGTTCTGATTGGGAGGAAAGAATGTATTTACCTGAGTAATTAGGAAAGGGTGGAAGGTACTGTGAGACTGAGTAGGCACTATGGGAGATAGATGGTGAGAGAGGAGGTGAAGGATTTGAGTTAGCACCAGTCTGCATCATTAGCCTAAGCCTGTTTATCTCTTCAGGAGTAAAAGCTGCAGCTGCCTTTGCCTGGCTAACAGGACTGCCATCTGAGGTATCACTACTATAACTTACCTCTGTGGAAGAGTCTCCTGAGCTAGTTTGAGAAACAGACCCAGCAAACCTTGGTGAATTGGTTTGGGCTCCTACAGAACTGCCACCTCCATCAGCTTCCTTCTTCCTTTTTGCTCTCCAGCACTCATCTACCACATGTCCAGGCCTTTTACAGTATATGCAGTACTTCTTGCCTTGTCCCCTTTGTTCTGGTTCCTGAGGTGCTCCAGCTGCTAAAGCTACACTTTGAGCTTTCTTTCCAGTACTACCTTTCTCAGCCTTCAATTTCTGTTCATACTGGAGTAAATCATCAACTGCTTCAGAGACACTTGGTAAAGGTTTCTGTGAAAGCAATTGACTCTTGATGATCTCAAAATCAGGATTCAAACCCCTCAGGAACCTAATCAGATAATCTGTTTCTTGTCTCTCTGTATAAGCCACAACTGCATCACAAGGATTAGGATTCTCTGGAACACAATTGCAAGCAACAATAGGACTGAACTGCAAATACTCTTCCATCAGCCCTTTAAACTCTGTGTAATACTGATTAATAGACTGAGTTCCTTGCTTGCACTTATGTATGTCATCTTCTAGATTTGTGATTCTTATAGAATTGGGCTTCCCATACATTCTCTTCAATTCATCCCACAGAACGCTAGCATTCACATGACTCATAACCGACCTTCTGAGATCCTTGTTCAGAGAATTCAAGATCCATGACAGCACAGCAGTGTTACATCCATCCCACAAAAGAAAATTTGGATCGGTTCTAGGAGGCATAGGTATCGTCCCATCAATGAAACCTAGCTTGTGTTTCATTTTCAAACCCATGATAACAAAACGACTCCACAAAGTGTAGTTACTACCATCGAACACCTCAGACCCTATAGATTGATTCAAGGCCTCATTGGGATTCAGATAGTAGGGATTACCGAACATTATGACGTCATTTCTAACTCCAGCAAAGAGTTGTTGTTGCTGATCGTCGAACGTCCCGAATTGGAAAGCGCGAGGACCTGACCCATTTCCTCCAGATTGACTTCCCGCTGACGAAGAAGTCTGGCATGCTTGAGATCCCAGCGGCGGCGGCGGAGTGTTGGCCATGGTAACCCTAGTTTCTTGACCGCTCTGATACCATATGAATTTAGATGGGTTTGGAGAATCGGCAAACCCTCAGAAGAGACTGAGAGATGCTCTGCTTTCATTATATAGCAGTGTGCTCTGTAAACCCAGCAGCACCTTAACGACAACCACATGGCAGAATGCCATTGGCAATTACAAAAAGTAACAGTGTCTTAGCAACGGCTAACTAGCCTTAGGAAAACGACATCGTTCAAGTAAATAACAAACAGAAAGGAAACTTAAAACAAAAACGTTTCTTCTGTGAAACTCCTTCTTCTCTTCTCCAATCCAGATCGCATCAGGACTTCTTCTCCATCCTTCCACTTCAGTTGGTTGACAGTTCCCATGGAAAAATCTGATGTCTCTCAACCCATCTCCACTGTACTTAATGGTGCCAATTACCATATTTGGACCCAAAGCATCCGCAGTTTTCTGAAAGGGCGAAAGTTATGGCAATACATTTCCGGTGAGATAGCCAAGCCTACCAAAGTTGCTGATGAATCAGACGTTTCCTTCTTGGAGCGACTCGATGATTGGGAGAGCAAAAATCATCTAATTATCACCTAGTTTTGCAATACATCTGTCCCATCTATTCATCTTCAGTTTGGACGATTTGACACAGCTAAAGAAGTTTGGGACCTGCTTGCTGCCCGATATGTGACATCTAATTTGGCTTATCAATATCAACTTTGGGATTAATTGCATCAGATGAAGTAGGAACCGGGTCAGTTGCTCATTGATTTTCTTGCCTAGATGCAAGCCATATGGGATCTTATTTCACAGTCCGAGCCAACTTGGAAGTGCCCTGAAGATGCCAAACAGTATACAACGCATCTTGACAAGCTGCGTCTCATCCAATTTTTGATGGCTCTTCATCCAGATGTTGAAACAGTTAGAGCATCTCTTTTACATCGGAGTCCTCTACCTACTCTTGAGAATGCTATTTCAGAACTCATCTCTGAAGAAACACGGCTTGGCATGCTAAAATCTCGCCGAACAGACATGGTCCTAGCTACTCCATCATCTACTAAATTCTGCAAGAACAGCTCCAGTTCCGCTCATACTTTAGCACGTTGTCCTACAGTTGAGTGTAGGTACTATCACAAAAGGGGTCATATCTTACCTTACTGTCCAACGCGCCCACTCAAACCGGATGAAGGAAAGGGAAAACTTAATCCTAAGAAGGAGAGTTCTCAATCATCTTCTGCTATCCCTGCTTCTGCCACCGAGTGTTCTAGCTCTACTACGACCACTCCCTCTCCGACCCTTACTCTCAGTGACCTCGAAAGCATTCTCACCCAGCTTCGAGGTAAATCTAGCACTACACCTGTGATGTCGGTTCTTCTAGGTACAGATTCTTGGTATCTTGACACAGCCTGTTGTAATCACATGACACCCAACTCTGCTATTTTCACTTCAAAACGCTCATGTCCCCAATCCTCAAGTATTCAAACCGCCAATGGATCCTCTATGCCAATCAAACACATAGGCACTATTTCTACTTCTGATATGGTCATCCCTGATACTTTTTTTGTCCCCAACCTTACTCTCAACCTCATTTCTGTGGGACAACTTTGTGACCTTGATCTTGAACTTACCTTCTCAAAATCTGGTTGTCGTGTACAGGATCTGCAGACGGGACAAGTTATTGGGACCGGACGTAAAGTGGGATGCATGTTTCAACTCACCTCACTTCATCTCCCATCCTATCCCTCTCCTCCTATTGCTGCTGCTACGTCACTCCAAATTTGGTATGATCGCTTAGGTCATGCCTCCCTCCATAATCTCTGTATTTTGGCTTCTCAAGGAAGTATAGGTCCAGTTCCAATTACTTCCATTCAATGTGCGCCCTGTAAAACTGGTACTATGTCTGCTCTATCTTTCAACCTTAGTGATTCTGTTTCCTCATCACCTTTTGACCTTGTTCATACCGATGTTTGGGGACCGTCCCCCACAAACACAATGGGAGGATCTAAGTATTTTGTGATTTTTGTTGATGATTACTCTCGCTATACTTGGATTTATTTATTTCGTCAATGTTCTGAACTTTCTTCCATTTATTCTACTTTCACATCCATGGTTCAAACACAGTTTAACCGTAGAATTAAAGTTCTTCGCTCTGATAATTCCATGGAATATGTTGACAACACCTTTCAATCCTTTCTCAAAGACCATGGTACTTTGGTCCAACGATCTTGTCCAAATACCTCACAACAAAATGGTCGAGCAGAAAGGAAACATCGCTCAATCTTAAACTCTGTCCGCACCCTACTAATTTCATCATCTTGTCCTGAATCTTTTTGGGGAGAAGCAGCCCTCACTTCTGTTTACCTTCAAAATCGCACTCCCTCCCCTGTCCTGAACTCTGTCTCCCCTTATGAACGCATATATGGTACACTTCCTACATACACTCATCTTAAAATTTTTGGTTGTGCCTGTTTTGTTTTTTTACCTTCTCATGAACGTAGTAAACTTGAGCCCCATGCTCGTCTTTATTGCTTCCTTGGTTATGGGATTGAGCATAAAGGGTATCGATGTTGGGATCCTGTTTCCAATCGCTTGAGAATATCACGTCATGTTGTTTTTTGGGAAAACACTCCTTTTTTTGTGATCCATCTATAGATCTCTTCCCAGAAGTTGATTCATCATCAGCGTCGAGCCCCGAATCCTCCATAGAAACTTCGATTGCAAATAATGCTTCCCCCAATACGGTTGCTCCTAATAATGTCCCGCCTGCTGATCTAGTCGCTCCAGGTACTTCTTCTTCTCGCCCTATTCGCAATCGTCTTCCTAATACTCGTTTGAATGATTATTTTTGTTGTTTAACCTCTCTTCATGAGACGTCTTCTTATAAAGAAGCTAGTATTGACCCTCTTTGGCAAAAAGCTATGACAGACGAGTTGGAGGCACTTGAGAAAACTCACACTTGGGATTTAGTTTGTCTACCTCCTGGTAAAACTCTTGTTGGCTGCAAATGGCTGTACAAAATCAAGACCAATGCTGATGGATCTATTGAACGTTATAAAGCGCGTTTAGTGGCGAAAGGTTTCACTCAAAAATATGGGATTGATTATGAAGAAACATTTGCTCCTGTGGCTCGTCTAACATCCTTCAGAACTTTACTAGCTGTTGCTGCCGTTCGACGTTGGAAGTTATTCTAGATGGATGTCAAAAATGCATTTTTAAATGGTGACTTACAAGAGGAAGTTTATATGAAGCCTACTCCTGGATATTCTTGTCCACCCGACAAGGTTTGCCGACTACGGCGTGCGCTATACGGTCTGAAACAGTCCCCTCGCGCATGGTATTCCAAATTCAACACCATTATGCAGACATCGGGTTTTACCTCCAGTGCCTATGACTCCGCTCTTTTTATTCGCCGCACTTCTCGTGGCATTATTCTTCTCCTGTTGTATGTGGATGATATGGTTATTACAGGAGATGATCTCCACGGCATTTCTCATCTCCAACAACTTCTTAGCTCAACCTTTGAGATGAAGAATCTTGGCAATCTTCGTTATTTATTAGGATTGGAAGTCACTTCCAAGGATGATGGAAGCTACACCCTTTCCCAAGTTAAGTACGCCTCAGATCTCATCTCCCGTGCCCACCTCACTGACTCCAAGACCGCATCCACTTCGCTTGAAGCTAATGTTAAACTTACACCTCGAGATGGAACACTTGTATCAGATGCCACACTTTATAGACAACTCGTTGGTAGTCTCATCTACCTCACAGTCACTCGTCCTGATATTGCACATGCGGTACACCTTGTTAGTCAGTTTATGACTGCCCCTCGCTCTAATCACTATGCTGCTGTCCACCCCATCCTCCGATACATCAAAGGCACTCTGATGCTGATTGGGCTGGTGATCCTACCGATCGCCGCTCCACTACAGGTTTTTGTTTCTTTCTTGGTACATCTCTCATATCTTGGCGTAGTAAGAAACAATCCGTTGTGGCCCGCTCTAGTACTGAAGCTGAATATCGTGCATTAGCTGACAGCACTGCAGAGTTATTATGGCTTCGCTGGTTACTTAATGATATTGGTGCTCCTCAGTCCTCAGCCACTCACATCTATTGCGATAATCAAAGTGCTATTTAAATTTCGCGCAATGATGTTTTTCACGAACGGACAAAATATATCGAAATCGATTGTCACCTTGTCCGTCATCACTTGCTTGCCGGTACTCTTAGTTTGCATTTTATCTCCTCTGATCATCAAACTGCAGATGTATTTACAAAGAGTTCTCCTTCATCTCGTTTTGGTACATTGTTCTCCAAACTCCAGTTGCCATCCTTACCTCCGCCCCCTTGAGTTTGAGGGGGGGGGGGGGGGGGGGTGTTAATTGAGATATGACCTACGCATGATCAGCAGTATGCTGTGCCTTCATCATGCCCATACTCCATCACAAGATACGATATGATATGCTCAATATTATCAGATTCTGTAATTAATGTCTTTCTCTGTATGTTAGCCTATGTATGTATATATATACCTGTAATTGTAAACCTTCAAGATAAGATAATCAATTCAATCTCTGTGAACTGTAACAAAGACGAAGAGGTGAAAGGTAGCATAGTCGAACAATGCAAGCAGGGGGCTGAAGGCAAAGAGATGGATTGGAAATCAGTGGTTGAGAGAAAGATGATAACGGAGGCGGAGCCGCAGAGGCTGGCGTCACGGGGAAGCGTTGAGGACGAGAGAAAGAAGATGCTTATTTTTTCCTTTCTTAATTTAGTTTATTTTTATCTATTTTTTAATTAATTAAAAAATGTATTTTTCGACTTTACACTTTTTGACGAAAATATGCCACGACAGCTAAAACTGTTAGTCTAGTCAGCATTCGTACTTGGTCCGTTAAAGTTTTGGACATAATGATTATTTTTGTGTATTTTTCAAATAGTGGATATTATTGTAAAAAACGTGAAAGTTATGGCTATGTAAGTGAATTAAGTCTAACTAAAAAAAAAGACATTTTAAGTTTCTAAGAGCATCCACATCAATGGTATTTGTTCAATTACAAATCCTATGTGGCACTCAATTTGTAATTGCAAAAGGGATTTCACTAAGAGCATCCACATTGGTATTGCATTCTCAATTGCAAAATGACATGACATAGGTGTTTGCAATTGCAAACCCAATTGCATTGATATGGCTACCAATTGCATATTTGCAAGCTTGCAACAAATGCAATTCCATATGCAAGTCAAAAAAGCCTAAAAAAGGGCATTTTTACTTTATATTATTTTCTTTTCTCTTTTACTTAATTTTCTATAATTTAAACATAATATTTAATTACATTTGCAATTGCAAGTTAATTGCATTGATGCAGGTGAATGAAATGAATGTGATGTGGATTGCAAAAAATTTGAGTTGATAATAAAAAACACAAATGCAATTTCTTTTGCAATTGCATGGATGGAGATGCTCTAATGTAGTGGCCACTTGCAAAGATGCAAGCTTGCATTAAATGAAATTGAAGATGCAAGCCATATAAAAAATTAGAAAAAATATATTTTCTCTCTCTTGATTTATTATTTTTTTATATTATAAAATCACTTAAACCCTCGTATATGCAATTGCAAGTGAATTGCATTGATATAGATGCAATGAAATAAAAGTGAGTTGGATTGCATAAAATCTTAAGAAATCATAAACATCATATCCAATTAGATTTTCAATTGCATTGATGGAGATGCTCTAACCCAACATATTAATCGATTAAGGTAAAAGTGGTTAGACATCAACTGCATTTTCATTCTAAAACCCTACAAATATTTCTTCCATAGGAGGAAATCAAAATTCAAAAAAGGCTTGGGAATTGCTACCAATGGATAGGCGAGATAGTTTTCCTCTTTGGACTATTAACTCGTACTCGGTACTCCTCTTCCATGAGCCGCACAATCAGTGAAGTATATCGATTTTCCTTCTTGGTTCCTGATCGCACAAAATTTTGTTCTCCAAATCATTTTTCAGACCTGTTGCACAAGAAGAGCATCAATGTCTGCGACCCCAGTTACCGAAGGTTCCGTTTGCTGCTCCGAAAAGTTGCTTGATGCTGCTCTGAACCAGCTGCAGTGTCCATCATACATACCTTGCGATTCCTCGTACCTTGGAATCCGAGTAGCCCAGCAAGAGACCGTAGGCTGGAACACCGTCCAACGGGGCACAATTTCTCCTAGATCAGTGAAGAACTCCAAATTTTCGTTCCTCAAGTTGCAGCACAGAATAGCATCATCGCCTTCCAAGTAAGGGAGATACAAGAAGAAGACGGTTTTGGCTTCTTAGGATGAAGATCCAGAATTTTACACCGCTCGAGTTCATAGTTACATCTCGATGATGAAACACCCTAACCCGACCGGGTATTACTTTTACTAAAATGTCATTGAAAAAAAAAATACTCAAATCTTAAATCGCAGCGGGAAAAATGTACATAAATAAAATACTGAAAACTAACACTTGTAGTTTAAAGCAACGCCCTAACACATGGACAAACTCAATACTTAAAATCTCAAAATGAGCTCCAGTCTATACTCATAATCATAAATGTAAATAACTAATAATCTCTAATGTTGTTGCTACTGAAAGCCTGGACTAAGCATCCTCTGTGACGCTTATACTGCCTCCTCTAGTTGGCTGCCCTCGAACTCGCTGCTCACT